CACTGGGCCACATAGGACACCTGCTACATTAGGCCACCCAGCTAAGACTGGGAGACATAACAGATCTACCTAATATATAGAAACAAACACAGAGAGACAGCCAAAATTAGAAAATAAAGAAACATATCCCAAATGAAAGAACAGGAAAAAAACTCCAGAAAAAGAACTAAATGAAATTGGAGGCAAGCAACCTACCAGATAGAGTTCAAAAGACTGGTTAAAAAGATACTCAGTGAACTTAGGGTAAGAATAGATTATCTCAGTGAGAACTTCAACAAAGAGAGAGTACACATAAAATAGGACAGGGGAACCATGAAAAAGAACCAGTCAGAAATGAAGGATACACCTGAAGAAATCAATAGCAGGTTAGATGAAACAGAGGATTAAATCAGTGATTTGGAAGGCAAAGTAGCAGAAAACACCCAATCAGAACAGCAAAAAGGAAAAAAAAAAAAAAAAAACCTAAAAAAAACAAAAAGAGAGAATAGTTTAAGGCAGCAGTCCCCAACATTTTTGGCACCAGAGACAGGTGCTCCTATGAGAATCTAATGCCTGATGACCTGAGGTAGAGCTCAGGTGTTGATGCTAGTGCTGGGGAGCGGCTGCAAATACAGATGAAGTTTCGCTTACTCTCTGCTACTCAACTCCTGCTATGTGGCACAGTTCTTAACAGGACATGGACAGGTACCAGTTTGTGGCCAAGCAGTTGGAAACCCCTGGTTTAATATCTTAGGAGTATGCAAAGAAGAGAAAAAGCAAGAGATTGAGAATCTATTTGAGGAAATAATGACCAAAAAATTTCCTGACTTTAGGAAGGAAATGGACATACATGATTAGGAAGCACAGAGAATCCCAAACAAGGTGAACCCAAACAGACCCACACCGAGACACATCATAATTAAAATGGCAAAGATTAAAGACAAGGAGAGAATTCTAAAAGCAGCAAGAGAAAGGCAACTAGTTACTTGCAAGGGGTCGTCAGCTGATTTCGTAACAGAAACTTTACAGGCCAGAATGGAATGGCATTTAATAATCGAAATGATGAAAAGTAAGGACCTAGAACCAAAACTACTCCACCCAGCAAGGCTATCAATTAAAATCGAAGATGAGATAAAAAGCTTCCCAGACAGGAAAAAGCTGAAAGAATTTATCGACACCAACCAGTATTACAAGAAACATTGAAGAAACTTCCTTAAGAAGAAGAAGCAGAAGAGAAAAAATAACATAAATATGAAGAATAAAATTGCAATAATTATGCATCTATCAATGATCACTTTAAATGTAAATGGGTTAAACATGCCAATCAAAAGACATAGGGTAGCTGAACAAATAAGAAAACAAGACCCATACATATGCTGTCTACAAAAGACCCACTTCAGATCAAAAGACACACAAACTGAAAGTAAAGAGATGAAAAGATATTTTATGCAAATGGAGATGAAAAAAGAGCTGGAGTAGCAATACTTATATCAAAAAAAATTAAACTTTAAAAGGCGAAAATAAGAGACAAAGAAGTACATTACATTATGATAAAAGGATCAATCTCACAAGAGGATACAACTCTAGTAAATATTATGCGCCCAACATATGAGTGTGTGTGTGTGTGTGTGTGTGTGTGTGTGTGTGTGTGTGTGTATATATAGCAAATATTGGCCAACATAAAAGGAGAGATCGACAATAATACAGTCATAGTAGGGAGTTTTAACATCCCATTGACACCAATGGACAGATCTTCCAGACAAAAAATCATCAAGGAAACAGCAGCCTTAAATGACCCACTATACTACATTGATTTAATTGATGTTTTTAAAGTGTTTCATCCCAAAGCAACAGAATATACATTCTTCTCAAGTGCATATGAAACATTTTCCAATACAGACTACATATTAGGCCACAAAACAAATCTCAGTAAATTTAAGAAGACTAATATCATAGCAAGCGTCAAAATATCAATGGCGTTTTTAACAGAACTAGAATAATCCTAAAATTTGTATAGAACCATAAAAGACCCCAAGTAGCCACAGCAATCTTGAGAAAGAACAATGTTGGAGATATCATGTTACCTGGTATCAAACTATACCACAAAGCTATAGTAATCAAAACATCCTGGTACCAGGATGAAAACAGACATGTAGACCAATGGAACTAAATGGAGAGTCCAGAAATGCCTAAATGGTCATTTAATCAATGACAAAGGAGGGAAGATTATACAATGGAGTAAAGACAGTCTACTCAATAAATAGTGTTGGGAAAACTTGACAGATACATACAAAAAAAATGAAACTGGACCACCTTCTTACACTATATAAAAGAATAAACTCAAAATGGAATAAAGACTTAAATGTAAAACCCAAAACCATAAAAATCCTAGCAGAAAACATAGGCAGTAAACACTCTAACATTGCTCCTAGTAATATTTTTTTGATATATCTTCTCAGCAAGAGAAACAAAAGAAAAAAAAAACAAATAGGACTACATCAAACTAAAAATTTTTTGCCCAGCAAAGAAAACCATCAATGAAATGAAATGACCACCTTTTGAGTGAGAGAAGGAATTCATCAGTGATGCATCTGATAAGGGGTTAATATCCAAAATTTATAAAGAATTCATATAACTCAACACCAAAAAAATCAAATAATTCAATTAAAAAATGGGCAGAGACCCCGAATAGACATTTTTCCAAAGAGGACATACAGATGTCCAACAGACATCTGAAAAGTTGCTCAACATCACTAATCATCAGAGAAAAACATTAAAACCACAATGAGGTATCAACTCACACCTGTCAGAATGGCTACCATCAATAAATCAAAAAAATAGCAAGTGTTGGTGAGGATGCAGAGAGAAGGGAACACTTGCGCACTATTGGTGGGATTGCAAATTGGTTACAGCCACTATGGAAAACAGCTGGAAGGTTCCTCAAAAAATTAAAAATAGAACTACCTTATGATCCAGCAATATCATTTCTGGATATTTATCTTTAAAAAAAACAAAAAAACAAAAAAACAAAAAACCCACTAATTTGAAAAGATATATGTACACCTATATTCACCCTAGTACTATTTACAATAGCCATGATATGGAAGCAACCAAACTGGTCATCAACAGACAAATGGATAAAGAAGTGGTACATATATACAATGGAATAATACTCAGCCATAAACGAAATGAAATCTTACCATTTGCAATGACATGGATGGACCTAGAAGGTATTATTTAAGTAAAATAAGTCAAAGACAAATACCATATTTCACTTATATGTGGAATCCAAAGAATGAAATAAATGAACAAACAAAATGGAAGCAGACTCATAGATACAGAACAAACAGGTGATTGCCAGATGGGAAGGGATTAGAGGGCTTGGTGAAAAAGTGAAGGGATTAAAAACTACAAATTTAGTTATAAAATAGTCACAGGGATGTGAAGTACAGCATAGGGAATATAGTCAATAATATTGTAATAACTGTATAGTGCCACGTGGTTACTAGTCTAATCAGGTGGATGTCTTCATAAATTATATAAATGTCTAACTACTATGCTATATACCTGAAACTAATACAAAATAATATTGAATGTCAACTCTAACTGAAAAATAAAAATTTAATTTTAATTTTTTAAATAAATGGTATGGGAACTTGAAATCTAAATATTGGATATGCTCTTTTGTTGCGACCTCCTATTGATCAAGGCAATGTGCAGAACTAATATGCATTAAAATTGAGTCTTTAACTTTCTTTTAAAATAGATGTTTGGGGAAGTAGAAAGGCAGATAGTTAGTGAGAAATGGGAAGACTGAACCCCTGATACTGATAGCAAGTCAGCCTTTTCTTTGAGCCTTGTACACCAGGTTTATAGTTATGAAAACTGTATCAAGCCCTGCTTCCTTGAAACCAGAAGGAGAAAATTGATGTAGTACAGCTATTAAATGTAAAGCCCTAAGAACAGTGCCTCTTCTCACAGGTACTGCTTAATTCAAGTTAGCTTATGATGATGACAATTGTAATACAGAAAGCAAAATGGGCCTTGATTTTGAAGACCTGAATTCAAGTCCTAGTTCTTTTGTAAAATGATATAATAATTCTTTTCCTACCTAATGAGGTCTCAGTAAGGAGAAAATAAGATAATAAAATATAAAATGATTTTTAAACTCTGCCTTTATTGATAACTCACTGCAAACCAAGCATGTATTCCTCACTACAAAGTTGAGAAGAGAAATACAGATGAGTAACCTGAGGCCCAGGAGGCGAAGTAATTTCACATAGCTAGAAAGTAGCAAAGCTGGAATTCAAACTCACAGTTGGGACTTGGTATTGTCCCTCTGTGTTATATCCTTGTGTTACTGTTTTTAAGACCTCGTGGGTCCCAGGTAACATTAGCTTTATGCATACCTGGGATTGCCCAGAAATGACTCCAGGAGCTCACTCTGTGTTCAGTATAGAAGCCACTAGTGATATAGTCGTATCAAGTTGCTGAAATGTGCCTAGCGTAACAAAGAATGAATTTTAATATAAGCTTTAGTCTTTTAATTTAACTTTTTAAAGTTAAAATTTAAAACCAATACTCAATTCAGTTATTAGAAAACTTTGAAGTATATTTGGAACAGCTTGGGTGTGAAAAATCTACTTTTTAACTGTAAATTTTGTAAAATTTAAGTACAGATCAAGTATTTCCAAAGAAAATTTAGTGCCCGAATTGAAAAATTCTGAAAGTGTAAAATATACACCTGATTTCTAAGACTTAGTATTAAGGAGAAAAAAGTAAAATATTTCAATAACAATTTTTATATTGATTACACGTTGAAACAAAAATATTTTGGATATAGCGATTCCAAGAAAATATATTATTAAAATTTTGTTTTAACTGTTTATTTTTACTTTTTTTACTGTAACTACTAAAACACTTAAAATAACATATGTGGCTTACATTATATTTCTATTGACCAGCACTGGCCTGACAGAAAAAGTCAACAAACACTGTATGTTCTCCCCTCTTCCTTGCAGGTGGAGCTAACAGGAACTCGGCCTTCCTATTCTGGCGGTACATTACCATAGGCCCAAGGTCACCAGAGGCAATTTGCTATCCCAGACAATTGACCATGAAAGCCCTGGAGTCCACTGTATTCTCCCCGATGAGTTTGCCCTATAAGATGAGGGATCAACAAGGAGGAAGTTCCTGCTCCTGGAATATACACCCCCAGTATGTCCAGCACAGTGTCCTACACCCAGCACACCTTTCTGTGGATGTCATGTACACCATACATTGATGAACCCTATAAAGCCTTTCTAACCCTACAACTAGAATTTGCTTTGGCTCAGGACAGATGGGAACTGCAAAGGAACCAACCCACTTTGTGCAACAAGGGCCCCTAGGAATGCTTGGAGAGAAGGATACAAGGAAAAGACTAACTGTCCTGCTAATAGGAAGGTAGACACTCAAAGAGCATTAAGATCTGTGATCTTATTGTAAATGTGACACATGTATACTTACCACAGGACAAGCCAAGGACATACTGACTACATTTGTAACCACTATTAGTCCCTTGAGTCACATTATCCCATAAAAACATAAATAGCAGCAAAGTGAAATTCCTGTACTAACTCACAATACCACATTTAACCCAGAATAAAGCTGAAACACAATACTATTTATATATTCCAGGGACAGGGGAATCCCTACCCACCAGCAAGCATGACAAAGAGCTACCTGTTGATGAGAAGACCCACCTCTGTATATTGCTAATTAAATGTCTGCTGAGAGCATCCAACTATGTGCCAGGACATAAAAAAGATATTAGGACAGTAATGTGAATTAACATAAAAGGCATTGGCTTTTTCATTATGTGATCTGGGTCTCAGTCTCTTAATCTCTGAAATGATAGTAATAGTCCCATATGGGTATTGAGAGCCTTAAGTTGATCATGTATTTTAATTCATCTGGACAGTGTGTGACACATAGAAGAGACTCTTTTCTTAGCACCCTCCTTCTGAGAGATAAAAGTGAAAAACAGTCTTTGCCCTGAAACAGTTAACAGAATAACCAGTGGAGCAGACAGGCACCCAAGGTAATGCTTTTGCCAGTGGTAATTGTGTACCTCTACAGTGACAGGAAGGAAGGAGGGGGCCGCTGCTGCATGTGCATGTGAATGCAGGACAACTAGAAGGTTTATGTTCAGAGGTAAGAGAGGGCAGGAATGTGACACCGAAGATGTAAGAAATTGAACTGATAGGAAGTGATGACATAACAAAAAGTAGGAATTGCTTCCTTAAGAATAAAATTGCTCTCAGCTTGTTTTCTTGTCATTTGAGTTCCTCATAAATATGTAGCTCAGAAAAGCCAATTATTTGAGGTTTTTAATGAGCTGTGTTTCAAATAATCACAATTTTACACTAAAAATGTTTGTTTTGCCAGAATTCTAGCTCTTTGTAAAATAGAAACTTGCCTTCTCCCTTTACAAACTAGGTGTCTTTTTTTCTTTTTCTAGTCTATCTCAAAAATCTCAAATTTGTCCACCCCACTCTCCTGATATCCATGGTCACTGCTTTAGCTTAGGCTTTATATCATCTTCCATGAGTTGTAATTATTCCTGATGGGCCTCATTTTCCTAGTTTCTCCTCCTTCTAATCCCTCTGTCACCTTATGACCAGAGCAATTTTTCAGAATTTCACAAGTGTCAGTCACTGCTCTGCTTCTCATATCATCAGCAACCCATTTTTGCAG